CATCCTACCAAGCTTTTTTATTTTATGTTATTTATTTATTTTTTTAGAGACAGTCTCACTCTGTTGCCCTTGGTAGAGTGCCATGGTGTCACAGCTCATAGCAACCTCCAGTTCTTGGGCTTAGGCGATTCTTTTGCCTCAGCCTCCCAAGTAGCTGGAACTACAGGCGCCTGCCACAATGCCCGGCTATTTTTTTGTTGCAGTTTGGCTGGGGCCGGGTTCGAACCCGCCACCCTCGGTATATGGGGCTGGTGCCCAACTCACTGAGCCACAGGTGCTCCCCTCGCCAAGCTTTTTTGTATGGCATAATTCACAATGTTCTATCCGTTCTCAATTTTATTTAGGACTCAACACCAACTAAATTACTCATTTTCACTTTTTTCAAAGTTGGATTTTGCTGTAAATCCATATATTTGTTAACTGTGTGATAAGCTATTGTTTATTACATTCATTCAGGTACTCCAAAGCGGTCGGTCTAGTAAACCATTTTTCAAATCCATTAACCAGCCTTCACAAGAATTAAAAGGCGAAATTATTATTGCAACTCGTTTTCCCTGTCATTCTTTAGTTCATAAGCTTTGGACTGAATATGTCTTTTGACAGTGTGCTGCAGAATGACGAACATGGAGAGAAACAGGCGCCAGGCCGTGTAGACGGCATTTGCTTCCTCACATTCAGACCATCTCAGGACAAGGTCAGGCCCCTGCAGGTTAGGGGCCACCTCACTGGACAAAATAGCTTTTAACTTGTAAAGCTAACAGAGCAGCCAGGTGATACTTGTGGACCCAGCAATCCGTAGCGGAAGATTCCTTAGTGTTGCTTCTGTGTCAGGTGTATACAGGACCATGTGTCCACTGACTGTGCTTCCATGGTCCCAAGCAGGGTTTTGATAAATTTCATACAGTTTTGTAAAATGAGTGACTCTGCAGACCCGTGAGGTGTTTTGTTCTCAGCAAAGCATCACATGATCTAACTATAGCACTTCTTGAGCACAATTGGACACTAATATGAAAATTATTTTTAAAAAAGCTATCTATACTGGCTCAGCACAGTGGTTACAGTGCCAGCCACGTACACCAAGGGTGGTGGGTTTGAGCCCAGCCTGGGGCTGCTAAACAACAGTAACAACTGCAAGAAAAAATCAACAGAGTATTGTGGTGGGTGCCTGTAGTCCTAGCTACTCGAGAGGCTGACGCAAGAGAATCACTTGAGCCCAAGAGTTTGAGGTTGCTGTGAGCTATGATGCCACAGCATTCTACCAAGGGTGACCAGAAAAAAAAAGCTCTTTATACCAGATTACTTTTAAACATCCCAGACACATTCCTACATAACATTAGATACAGTGTGAAGTGCCTGCCCTGTGAGGCTTACTTGGCATTCTTGTTGCACTTGGTAATTTTTCCATGCAAACAAGACACTTAGGCTGAGGCAGAGGACCATTGAGAATCTAAATGAATCCAAATTTAAAACACTTACTGTATTGCCTAATTAATAGCAAAATATTTTTGACTGGTGTTAATCTTGTTTGATGACATTCTAGATTTAGTAAAAATGTGAGAAAATAAATAACTACAAAAATTCAAGCTCAGCACCTGTAGCTCAAGTGGCCAAGGTGCCAGCCACATACACCTGAGCTGGCGGGTTCGAATACAGCCCTGGCCTGCCAAACAACAATGGCAACTGCAACCAAAAACTAGCCAGGTGTTGTGGCAGGCTACAGTCCCAGCTACTTGGGAGGCTGAGGCAAGAGAATCGCTTAAGCCCAGGAGTTGGAGGTTGCTGTGAGCTGTCATGCCATAGCACTCTACCCAGGGCGACAGCTTGAGGCTCTGTCTCAAAAATCAATCAATCAATCAATCAAGGGGCAGCACCTGTGGCTCAAAGGAGTAGGGTGCTGGCCCCATATACCGGAGGTGGTGGGTTCAAACCTGGCCCCAGCCAAAAACTGCAAAAAAAAAGTTCAGTCTATTTCTGGAGAATAAAAAAACTGAGGCAATCTGAATAGTATCTGTGGTTTAACAGCATTTCATCGACATTATTTCGATATTAACAGTAGGGGAAGATGGGTGAGGTCAAATGGAAACTGCACCATCCCTGCAACTCTTCCTCAAACTGAAAATTACGTCAAAATAAAAAGGTAAAAAAAATACATTATTAAATAGAAAATACTTAAGCAGACTGCAAAGGCCTTATGGAGTCAAGGAATAGATAAATTTGAAGGTCAGAATGTTCTAAAATAAATTACACTGAAAAACTCAAAAAAATTAAGCATGTAGCTTACAAAAATAGGAAAATTGAAATATTTTAGTTCAACTAAAACTCTGAAATATAAATATGAATGATTTCCTTTCATATTATAATTCTTTTTTTTTTTTTTTTGTAGTTTTTGGCCAGGACCGGGTTTAAACCCACCACCCCCAGTATATGGGGCCGGTGCCCTACTCCTTTGAGCCACAGGTGCCAGCTCATATTACAAATTTTTTAAAACCTTATTCTCCTGATGCCCTAGAAGCATACAGTCACTTTTATTTAACAAATGGTTTAAATTGGGTTCAATTTGTTGTTTTAAAAATATATGTTGGGCTCGGCGCCTATAGCTCAACCGGCTA